CTTTATTTCTTTAAGAAGCTTATCACAATTAGTTAAACATAAAATTTTATTTTACTCAACTAAAATAACTTATGGACCATTTCTCAGATTCACCTCATTTTCCCTCTTGAGCTGAAGGCAGAGGAAGTGGCTTGTATTTGTTGTCAAACCATATCCAATTAGTCTATTTCCTCCATCTTTCTTTTCCAAATACACCAATCTAGTTTTATGTTATTCCTCCTAACTTCTACTATAGTATTAATGAATACCCAAAATGTTATCTAATAAAAAGAGGAGAACAATTTTTCCCAAAGTGATTTCAATTCAATAGAAAAACTCCAGAGACTCTCTAGAAAGCACTAGGGAATTTCCCTGTTCTCCATTTACTTAGAAGCAAATAGAATGAATGAATAAATCTTTATAAGTCACATGTCCAGCCCCTGGTTCAATTAAAAAGTTAAATAATGGTTTATATCAAGCATGTCAAATTCGCGGCATGTGGCCTGCTGGCTGTGACTTTGACATGCTTGGTTTATATTAAAAACGTGCCCAGTATGGTTTTTTCTCAGTTCAAGATACTCTTGGCCTCCTTAAATAAAAACAAATATTTACTACAAATATTAAAATACTTTCAGTAACTATTATATACATATACTGGATCTATACTTTAATAAGAGGCATTAATTACATTTATTTTTAAGAAATGAGAGACTTGCCCTAGCTGGTTTGGCTCAGTGAATAGAGCATCAGCCTGTGGACTGAAGGGTCCCAGGTTCGATTCCAGTCAAGGGCACCTGCCCGGATTAAGGACTTGATCTGGATCAATCAATGATTCTCCCTTATCATTGATGTTTCTATCTCTCTCTCCCTTCCTCTCTGATATCAATAAAAATATATTTAAAAAAAAAATAAGAGATTTTTTATTCAAATTAGAATAAAAGAACATGAAAAAAAAAAAAGAAATGAGATTTTTTTATTCAAATTAGAATAAAAGAACATGAATTCTTTCAATCACTCAAAACAGATCATTAAAACAAAATATAAACAGAAACCTATTGTGTGAATGATTTTGAGTAAAATCATCATCATAATAAAAGGCTAATATGCAAATGGTCATCATGCCATGATGCCATAACGGCTGATCAGCAGGGTCTTGAGTCTGGGTGGTACGGGCCCAGGGGACCTGAGGCCATGGCCCCCTGCCCCGGCACTGGGCTGGGGACCTGAAGCTGTGCCCCCTGCCTAGCAGGGCTTGATGGGAGTGGGACCGGCCGGGTCACTGGGTCTTGTGCGATTTCGAGGTACACACACGGGTAGGTGGGAACTTGACTCTGGGTCCCACGGCGTGGCCCAGACTCTGACAGGAGGGAGATTTTCATATACACTTTACTAATTTTCTTTATCTCTGATACTTCTATTATAGAGAAAGGGCAAATAGCAATATTAAAATATTTCCTCTAACTACACGAAATTTATCTCAAAATCATTACACTTATTATATTAATACCAGAATCTAATCATCAAACCAAATGCCAAACAGATCCTTAACACTTACTCTGTTGCTTCCTACAGTTGCAAACACTAGTGGATCTCCTTCTTTACTGTGCCAGTTAAACTGAACTCCAAACAATGGCTGATTATGATCTTCCTATAAAATAATTATGAAATAAGAAAAATTAATGTATTTTAGAAACAAAAAAATTGTAGTAGACTGACCATCCTCATAACTTTTTTTGAACATGGAAGCCACTATTTTGAAATAGCACACATAAACTGACTTTTGACTCTAAAAAGATATCTACTTGTCCAGTTTTCACATTTTAAAATACTAGTATATGATAAAGTTTTATGACAACCAATGACTTAAATCAGAAGTTAGGTAACAAGCACTTATTTATGAAAATACTTTTATATTTGCCTTCTATGTTCTCACACCCAACCATATTTTTTGGAATCAAAACAAAACTGGGTAATTATGGCAAATGCATTCATTTCTCAGGACATAAGGACAAAATTTATTTTTCTGAAATTGTAAACTAACAAATGACCTAAGTAAGAGTGGCTTAGTACTAGCTAAACTTTATTAGGTTTAATTTTTCCCTTGTAAACTGAAGCACACCAGACGCAAATCACTGCTTTCTATTATTGCTATAGAAACAATTTTAAATAACCTGGAATTTGAGTCCTAAAAGAAAAATATCCCAAGTTTTGTAATAAACAAGTATGGTAATTGAACAATAGGGGTCAGGGGAAGCCATGGACTATACCTTTAGTTGCTAGTAGGCTGGCTATAAGGACATACATAAAAAACAAGTGTTCACAAAGTTATTCTCAGGATTTTACTGGCAATCTCTTGGTGTTTAACATTAATTTTCATATTCACTTCAAGGGAATGTTTTTACTTTTAAAGTCTAACAACTTTTATTTTTTACCCTTAAAGAGCCATAGATTTAATGCTTTGAAATATTTAATTAAAATATTTAACTGACAGTTGAAACAACCTTCTAGACATACTATCTAAAAATAGGTTGATATAACTGAATATTAATATGAAACTCATGGGCACTTTCCCTTTATAAAAAATATATAACCAAGATTAATCTCTCTCTTTTAAGAGTATAATTTGACATACACTGAACAAAGAATTTTGCTACAAACAGAAAAATAATTTCCACATAGCCATAGTCGCTTATGCTTTCTGAAGACTTTACCTGAAATACATATTTAGAAAAGATTCTTTCATACATGTATAAGACAATGTAATGCACATTTCTGCTCAGCGAAGGAAAACACCCCCCAATTTAAACCAATAATGAATACATGTAAAGAAAAACATCTTAAATTCCACTAATCCCTTTTATAAATAAAGATACTATTGAGGGAGTAGTCATTTATATAACCTCAACCACTTGTTTTCTACATAATTAAAATTTTTTTAATTTATATCCTTTTCTTTGAAAACAATCAAATAAAACAACAGATAAAGAGTTAAATTCTTTTAAACTGCAGAAACTAAGGCATGGGTTTCAATTTATGCTGGCTCAAAATTAACGAGTCACATTCAGTTCTTTTTAGGCATAAGTACCTGAAAGTAGCATATACTTTTAAATTTTATCAAAATACATTTTCCAAAACCTTTTATTTGAATATAAACAATAAAGAAAAACTAGCCTGCAGTACTAGGTATTATCCATTTAAGACAAAACGAAACGCTAAATGAAAGTAGAGTGAATTATAACTATGCAGTCTATACTATAAAAACAAAACTTCAAAAAGTACTGTAATTTAAAAATATTTTTAACTTGACAGAGTATCTTGAGCATAAAATGTTTACCACTGGTAAATAATTTTGCAGCTTAGCATTCAACTAACAGGATCTGTCTTTCTGCACATACCTTGAGACTATTTACACATTTGAAAGAATATTTGCACTTCTTGGACTTCCATTTCCCCTTCCCCCAGCTTTTCCTTCCAGGTGCATTTGGTGTATTTGTAGGTGTATCAGGGCGTTCAGTGTTTGTTCCACTTTCTATACTGACAGCATCATCCTGTAAGCAGTAAGTTAGAAAAAAATTACATAAAACAGTAATACTACACTCAGGCAGCAAATGACTTTTTACTGGACAGCTACTGAATGACCTAAAAGAAATAATTAATAAATTCTGTAAGTAATGGAACATTTTATTCCTATCTCCAAAGGATAAAAAGCAAACCAGCTACACATTAGAACTTGTGGATATTTGATATTTCAGCAAAAATATAAACAAAAAATGCTAATCAGAAAAACAGTATTAATGCTGCCTTTAAATAGCAACACAATGGTCTCCACACAAGGTACTATTAGATAAGAAGTCTAAGAGAGCCTAAGTAGCAAATAAAAAAAAAAAAATAGAAAGAGAACCAAATTTAAAAGAAAAAAGAAAACAAAGGAGAGCCTAAGTCGTCTTTTGCATGTTAGGGTTGCTGAAATTCACACCCAAAGCTCTGACTCCTAAATCTGACTTAATGCCCTAGCCCAGTGGTCGGCAAACTGCGGCTCAAGAGCCACATGGGGGGGGCTCTTTGGCCCCTTGAGTGTGGACACGAAGTTTCAATCGCACTGTATGTGCGTGCCCGCACGTGGTATTTTGTGGAAGAGCCACACTCAAGGGGCCGCAGTTTGCCGACCACTGCCCTAGCCCATGCATGTCAAACTTGCGGCCCATGGGCCACATGCCTTATTTGGCTCGTGTTAGCCTTTGAGTTTGACATGCTTGCCATAGCCAGTTTGGCTCAGTGGATAGAGAGTCAGCCCTCAGGCTGAATGGTCCAGGGATCGATTTCCGTCAAGGGAATGTACCTACGTTGCAGGTTAGATCCTTGGCCCTGGTCAGGGCGTGTGTGGGAGGCAACCAATGTGTCTCTCTTACATGGATGTTTCTCTCTGTCTCTCCCTCTCCCTCCCAGTCTCTAAAAGAAGTCCTACATATTCTGTACAACTGAAATTTGACTCAAAGCTCTGAAATAATGATACTCATAAATACTGGGTGGGGCAAAGTAGGTTTACAGCTGTTCATATGGAAAACAATGCAATAACTAATATAATAAACTGTTCCGTTAACTCACAACTCTTGTCCTACTCTTGCCCCATCCTGTATGTTAGAGCTCCAGATACTCTATAAAGTAATTCCCTTCCAAAGTAGAAATGGCAGCAGAAAACCTTGAAAATTCACCTAATTTTTACCTAATCTCCAGTCCACAAGATATATTGATGGCCCTCTAATCTCAGAAGAGGATTTCACCTCCTTTGATTACATATTACAATGTATTTTTAGAAATAGAGATTTATTTAAATCTGTAACATTAGGGCAGTAGTTAACCACATCTAGAGAAAGCCTTTTTTCTTGGAGTGCCTATTAACATCTATGAGAATACAGTCTAGGAACCATTGCGCCTTAGGGGCTGTTTCTAAGTTACTGTTTCCTAAAGCTAGCTTTATATTATAAAGGTTAAACTTACCTAGAGGGACAAAAGTATATTAAAATTCATTTACTGTGGGTGGGAGGGAGGATGGGAGTGGGTTAATAGGAGGAAAAGGAGGACCTATGTAATACTTTCAACAATAAAGATTTATAAATTTAAAAAAAGTAGTTTTTGGGGGTGGCTTTCAAAGCTGTAAATGGTTCCTACCAAAATGACATGCTAAAAAAACTTGAATTGTAACTTAAACATAATCTGCCTTTAAAAAGATATAAAAATTTTAAAGTTCAGTTCCTAGGCTAAAATCACTGTTTTTCTCTTTCCCAATTTCTCCCCACCTCCAGTTGTATTTAAACAGTTAAAAACTAGTGTAGAAAACAATTTTGGGTTTCGATGGAAAACTATGCATTATCTATGGTACACTCTTCCATGGTATCAGATTATAGCCCTCTTAGTTGCCTTTGACTAACCTTACATCTCTTTTTCAAGTTGTGGATAACTAACTAGTAGTGCAAATTCCATCTCTAAAGGTAGAGGTGCAAAGTACCTTCCCTTACACTCTGAAAAAAAAGTGTTTGACCCCATTTACAATTTCATCTCAACATTCCTTTATTCCTTATTAATTTGTACTGTTTGACTTGCCCAGTTCCCTTACGTGAGTAAAATAAAAATTTTAACATGTATTCATTTGCCTTTTTCTGAAAATTATCTTTTAACACTAGAGAAGTAAAATAATAAAACTATTACATGCATTATTCATGAGCTTCTTTACATTCTAATCCAGAAGCCAACTGGGGGTAGGGGAGGTAGGAGTGGGTAAAGGGTGAATTAATAAATGGTGATGGAAACTGACTTGATTTGGGGTGCACACAATATACAGGTGATGTATTATAGAACTATACCCCTGAAACCTATTTAATTTTATTAACCAACACCACTCCAATAAATTAAATTAAACAACAAGAAGTCATACAAAACATTGTTAATAATATGGCACAGCCCTGACCAATCTGGTTCAGTGGATAGCACATCAGCCTGGGAACTGAAGGATCCCAGGCTCAATTACAGTTAAGGGTATGTACCTTGGTTGCAGGCTCGATCCCCAGTGGGGTTGTGCAGGAGTCAGCTGACCAATGTTTCTCTATGAGGTGTGTTTCTAACTCTCTAACCCTCTCCCTTCCTCTCTGTAAAATCAATAAAAGTATATTTGAAAATAATAATAGGGCACATTGCATTCTTATCTCCCTTTATTTTTTTTTCTCCAGCTTTTTAGTTTAATACTAGAGGCCAGGTGCATGACATTCATGCACTGGGGGAGGGGGGGGGTGTTGTTCCTCAGCCTGGCCTCTGTCCTTTAGCAGGCCGGGAGCCCTTGGGGGATATCTGACTGACATCCTTAGCACTGCTGTGGTGGCGGGAGAGGCTCCTGCCACCGCCACTGCGCTCACCAGCTATCAGTCCGGCTTGTGGCTGAGCTGCACTCCCTCTGTGGGAGCGCACTTTAAAAAATATTTTTATTGGGTTTTAGAGAGGAAAAAAGAAACATCGATTTGAGAGCACATTAATCAGCTGCCTCCTGCACACACCCTTTACCGTGTCACCCGAATAAATTCAATTTTTAAAAAAAGGAAATGAGAAATTCCAGCAAAGGCAGATAATATGCTAAATGAAATAAGTTGGGCAGAAAAAGCTATGAACCATATGATTTCATTCATATGTGGGATATAAATCTGAAACTCATGGACACAAACAGCAGTGTGGTGGTTGACAGAGGGAAGGTGTGTGTGGGGGCAAGGGGACCTAATATATGGTGACAGAAGATGATTTAGCTTTGGGCATGGGCACAGAGTAAAACATAGAGATCTTGTAACATAGAAATCCACACCTGAAACCTATATGATACTATTAACCAATGTCACTCCAATAAATTAAAAGAATACTAACAGTATTTGTGACAAATGTTAGTGTTGTGATTTATAAATAAAAATAAAATATTTATTAAAACAAATCTCAAAAATATTTTATAACATAAGTTTATGATTACTTTTATAATCTTTTCACTGTAATTTACACATTTAAAAATGTTATTCTCTTCACTGATGTTTCTATCTCTCTCTCTCTCTCTCCCTGAAATCAATAAAAACATATACATAAATATGAAGTCCTCATCCAGATGGAGGAACCAAAACAAAGGCTTCATCCAATCATTTGGTTGTGAACAGTTTTCTAATGCATCAAATATATTCCCTAAGAGTCTGCAAAAATAAAATAAGCTTTCAATTTATTTGGCCCCCTGAAGTTTCCTCCGTCTAAATAAATTTCTATTTTCATTACATTTCTGCCTGATTATTTAGTATGTGGAGAGGTCAGAAACATATGATTATACTATGTGATCACAAAATTATAATAATAGCAATTATATAAAATTTGAATGGTACTTATTATGAGGCAGGCATTCTTTTTTTTTTAAATATACTTTATTGATTTTTTTACAGAGAGGAAGGGAGAGGGATAGAGAGTTAGAAACATCGATCAGCTGACTCCTGCTCACTCCCTACTGAGGACGTGCCTGCAACCAAGATATATGCCTTTGACTGGAATAGAACTTGGGACCTTTCAGTCCGCAGGCCGACGCTCTATCCACTGAGCCAAACCAGTTACAGCGAGGCAGGCATTCTTATTTTAAAATTCTCACCCGAGGATATTTTTCCACTGATTAGAGAGAGTGGAAGAAAGAGGGAAAGACGGAGAGAAATGTTGATATGAAAGAAACACATCGAGTGGTTGCCTTCTTCCAGCACGCCTGAGTCAGGCGGGAGAGGAGCCTGCAACGGAGGTACTTGCCCTAGCCAGAAATCAAACCTGGGACCCTTCAGTCTGCAAGGGACCCTATCCACTGCACCAAACCGGCTAGGGTAGAAAAAGTGAAAAATGTTACTTTTAAAGTAACTTTCAACACTGAAGCTTTCCAGAAATTTCAAGTCCAAATCCCACAAACTGACAATCCCCTAAAAATCTTTCTTCTATCTACAAAGAGTTCTTTTCCCATCTCTTCCGTGAAAATTTTGGTCACGACACCGTGTCATTCATATAATATTATGCTTCGATCAGTAATGCAGTGATGCAGAATTTAAGAAATGGGTGTGTAAGATGTCCTATTTATACCTAAAACTAGCCAAATGAGAAAATGAAGAACTTCTACCACCCTCCTATAACACTTTACAGATTTAAAAAAAAAATAGCCGGATGTTATTGCCATATATTATGAAAAGGGGCTCACATTTTGGAGTATTATCTTTACATGAATTGTCAAGACATTTTGCAGAACTTATTGGCCATATTAAAACATGAAACTGGAAGAGCAATGTCAATTCGGTTGTTACTGGCATCTCACCTAAACAGAGTTGGGACCAGATGTTGATCATGATCCGTTTTGGTTTTACTGTTATTTTTAGATCTCATTCCCCAAATCAAACACCAAGAGGCCATGAAGCCCACTCCTTAAGGACAGCTACCTATGCCGCCGAGACCGACCAGGTCAGCGGTTCTCAACCTGTGTGGGTGGGGGACGGCCCTTCCACAGGGGTCGCCTAAGACCATCGGAAAACACATATACATTACATATTGTTTTTGTGATTAATCACTGTGCTTTAATTATGTTCCATTTGTAACAATGAAAATACATCCTGCATATCAGATATTGACCTTACGATTCATAACAGTAGCAACATTACAGTTATGAAGTAGCAACGAAAATAATTTTATGGGATGGCCCTTCCACAGGGGTCGCCTAAGACCATCGGAAAACCCATATACATTACATATTGTTTTTGTGATTAATCACTGTGCTTTAATTATGTTCCATTTGTAACAATGAAAATACATCCTGCATATCAGATATTGACCTTACGATTCATAACAGTAGCAACATTACAGTTATGAAGTAGCAACGAAAATAATTTTATGGTTGGGGTTACCACACATGAGGAACTGTATGAAAGGGTCGCGGCGTTAGGAAGGTTGAGAGCCACTGGTCCAGGTGGTGCCCTGTATCTCGGCAACTTTCGAAAGCGGAACCGTCCCTTCTCTTTCCTTCCTCGCGGGTGGTTTTCCCCTCCAAGTCAGAAGACGACCCTCCCATCGGCTCCTCCTCCAGAAAAGCGGACTGACCTCATTCACCTCCGCGGGCAGGGCAGGGGCAGGCACCAGACCTCCTTTCGGGAGAGTCACCAAAACCCCTTACGATCAGCTCTTCCCATCCAGCCGTCCGTGAGGGTCGAGGACGGACACGGTCCCTAACTCCTTTAAGAGAGTCTCTAACACGCCGGGTTCTCCCTCCCAACTTTCCCAGAACCATCTCTAACTCGCCTTTTAAACGACGGGAATCTCAGCTCCCGCACTCTCCCCAAGTGCCCCCAAGGCCCCAAAGCACCGCGTCCACGCAAAAGGATCCGAGCCGCCCCCCTCGCCCCCCTTTCCGCGCCCACGCTCCGCCAAGTCTCTGCTCGCTCTCGGCCCCACGTCGACACCCCAACGACAAGTCCGATTCTCTCTCCCACGCCCGCGTTTTCCTGAGCAGCGAGTGACACCTCGCCCTCCCCCCACAGCCGCCCGGCCGCCCCGCTCCCACAGTTTAAAAAGACTTCAAAACTTTCCCCGGAGTCCCGCCCGCAGGACTCGGGGTCCCCACTCACATTCTCGTCTCCGGAGAGGTCCGGGTTGCTGTTCTCGTCGCTGCTCAGCTTCTGCTTCTTGGCCGCAGGCATGTCTGTTCCCGCCGGAGCTGTCGACACTTCCCTCTCGGACATATTCCTCCGCCTCCCTCCAGGTTCCTGCCGCCGAGGGCGGGGCCTCCGCCACACC